CCCCAAAACCCCAAAACCCCAAAACCCCAAAACCCCAAAACCCCAAAACCCCATTTAAAGCTAAGTTTATTAAAATTTATACATAAATATTCAACGGAGTCAAGATGTCAGGAAGACATTCTTCGAATAGTTACAAAAGGCTTAAGTTTTTCACTGAGAAGACAGATTTTGAGGCGCCATTTCATTTTATGTGTGATCTGCCACCTGTTCCGATAGAGCCGAAGCTTATTAATTTCACAGCACCTATAGAGAACTCCATAAAGTATAACCCGACTTGTCTGGAAATGAACTCTATGTGAGATTTGACTGGAGGAATAGACATAGATTTGATTAACCCCCAAATATACTCTAAGATCCTCCCAAAAGAAGAACTTAAAGACTTTAAAGAGATTGAGGTGAAAGATCCTCCCAATATAAAGAACTCTCAAAGAGACCCCACCATGGATATTATTGGCAAGCTTAATTTGAAGAATGATGAGGAGAAATCCAGGTTCAGGAACCTCAATCATAACGAAGTGTCAATGTACCTCAGAAACACCACTTATCTCACTGCTGGTGGAGACAAGACAGTAAAGAGGATAAATGAGGATCCAATTGCAACAGTGACCAATTATAAGAATATCGAGGAGCTTGATGGACAGAAGCTCAATACTCTTGAAATCATATCTGGAGATCCCTCAAACTATGGAAAGAAAGACACTATTGGTAAGCTCATAGACCGCTCCTTTGATAAGATCAAAGAAATCAAAGTTGGAATGAGGAAAGGAAACACAGAAGTCTATGCAAAATCAGTCAAGAGTGTGTATCCAAGATTTGAGGTCTTGAAAAAGGCAGCTTATCTTAGCCATTTCTATGATAACCCTCTTAAAAATGTGAAGAGACCTGAGCAAGCTGACAAGCTAAACTTTAACAATGAGACTATCCTTGTCAAAGACCCTGAAGAAGAAGCATACAAATTATTCGCTACTCAAGACGAAAGCAGAGGTGTTCTAGGCAAACGAAAAAGAGAAGATACAAATGAAGGGACCTTCCTTAAAAGAAAAGTTGCCAAATATGAAAAAGTAGGCTACTATAGGAGCAATATCACTGATGAATCCCTCCATGAGGGTGCTTACTTGTTCTATGAAATCGGTAATGACCAACTCAGCTATCTTCCTGTGAACAAACGTTTGAATCTTGTTAAAAAGAAGCAGGTTTTCCAAAAGAATCCAGGTTTCAGTCTTGATATTGAAGACGATCCTGCAGAGTTAGAATGGAAAGATAGATTCTATAGTATCGCTGAAAGAGAGTATACTCAGAAAGAGCTTAAAAAGAAAAACAATAACATTAACAAGCAAGATGCTCCTTACGCCCTGCGTTCAGACTTAACAACACAAGAGCAGCTAGCTGACCAAGGTATTATTGAAGCATACGAAGAAGGAGATTTGGATGATAAAGATAATGAAGAAGATATGAGACTTGTCCTACTTGATAATGCAGATGATGAGCCACAAGTAAGTTATTTCAGAATTACCCCTCATAGAATGAAGACAATAATGATGACGAAGACCTATTTGGAGACGAAGTTGATGAACCAACTCAAGCACAGCCTCACGAAGAAAATCAAATCAATGATGAAGAGGATGAAGATGATGATGATATTTTCTAACTTAATTCTGCAATGGATTAATCAAAAGGGGTTTTGGGGTTTTGGGGTTTTGGGGTTTTGGGGTTTTGGGG